ACACACACACACACACACACACACACACACACACACACACACACACACACACACACTCGTGTAATTTGTTGTCATATATATAGAGCCATTACCACGCACATAATCAGCTTAACACAGTCTCATTTGGAGCCTGACTACTTCCTGGAGGCTCGGCGGACACAGCTCTGGTATCGTGTAGAATCAAACGCGCATGCGCGACACGCAAACCCCGCTCTGCTGTTTGTACCTGCGGCTGTTCGTCAAACGCTCCGATAGGATCATTACAACAACAACAACACACAACCTGCGCTGCTGTGCTCCGACGGCGCTGTCCGCGGAGTGCTGGACATTTAACTCTCGTGTTTTCGTGTGAAGCTGGGAGGAGTGTGGGCTCGCTGTGATTTATTTTGTTATCTTTAAGTTTCCCTCCCCGGTGGTAAAGGGAGCACGCGGGAGTTGTCTCGCGGAGGTGACAATGATTCCAGCTCAGGAACTTTTTGTCTTCGTCACGACCATGTTACTTCAGGTTTCCCACAGCGACGCAGGTAAACTCTCATTTATTAACTACCTGCTTTTCTTTTTCTCTCTGTCCATTATTGATATGATGACCATGATAGTGTAGACTTGTTTTACACCTGCTGGTCTAATAAATTTTAATGGARTAAATTTAACTGAAACAATCATTTCAGTGAAGGTTTAATGTTTTCTTACATCTTACATTTAACAGACCACTTTTTGTTTAACTGAATGCAAAACACAGAATTTATTTTCATTTCCTGACTGAGCCTTGTCTAATTACCACCTCCTCGCCCTGTAATTACTATCAAAATGTAGGCTTAATAAACTTAATTAAAATAGAAAATGTGTGTGTAAGGTTTGATGTTCTCTCATGTTTAAAAAGTGATTTTTTTTTCTGTTAAATTTGTCTTTAATAAAATAATAACCATGCTTGCAAGTTTCTTGGACAGAGCCAAGAACTGCTGGTAAGTCTAAAAGCTCTGTTACAACAGATTATTATTCTTACTACTTTATTCTTATTATTTTTTACAGATTTTCTTAGTTTTGGTAAATGCAAACAGCAGCGTATAAGAGGTTAATAATCTGTTTTTCTTTATTTCACTCATTTGTTGCTGTATTATTACTGCAGTGAAGTGCAACAGCAGAGGCACAGATAAAAAGGGGCCATAAAACTGTCTGAAATCTTTGTTATTAAAGTGAATGTTGTGTTTATGAAATGTGCTTTCAGTYACTGATGAGACTGAAACTATGGGTAAAAGTGTTGTAAAGTTTTTTTAAAGAAATGTTCTGAACACAACATTTAATGCAGCGGTTCAAAACTAAACATTCATTGTCGTTCTCAAAATGTTTAGTCTCATGTCTTATCATTGCTCCACTCATAATCCTTACATATTTTTGGAAATTTACATAAAAACAATATATATTTTGGAGTCAAATTTAGAGGACTATTTCTGTTTATAATGTTACTTCAGTCAGTTATTATCTGTTTGTTGTAAAAAATAAATTATTGGTTTGTTTATTTAAAAAAACTGCGATGCAATGCTTTTGCAATGTTTATTTGCTAGCTTTTAAATTAAATGTATTTAGGTGTAAGAAAAAGTCAAGAACTTGTTTATTTTACCTTTAATTCAATTTAATTTATTGTCCTTATACTGAAACAGGGTTGTACAGTGCAACGAAATGCTTTTAAGCTAGATCTCCAGTGCAGTAACAAAGGACATAGTGCAGACAAGACATAACGTGCACAAACATTAGACACAAACATTAAATACACAATCGTGTGCATGATGTGAACAGGGTGTGGACAACGGACAGTGTATGATTGTTCAGGTTGTGGCTGGAGTAGCTGGGGTCACCAGTTTAACAGCACTGGGAAAGAAGCTGTTCTTGAGTCTGGTGGTTCTGGCTCTGATGATCCTGTACCTTCAGATGGCAGGGGTTGAAACAGGAAGTGGCTGGG